GGGGGGGGGGGGTATTTAGGACAAGATTTTTGGAGACCGGTATATATTTAGCAGTTACCCATTGTGTAAAGAGGGGTTTAGGAGTGGGTTGATTTCATCTCAGTATTCAGGGATTTTTTTAGAGGATTACTAAATTTTTTTTAATCCCTCTTCACGGTGATATGAACTTAATCACTGGATTAGTAGGAAACAGGTGTTCCACATTTTTCAATACTTCCTATTCTAGTTTTTTATTTAAAGTAATATATTTGTCGTTGTCGTAAATAAGAATTAAATGACCAAAATGCATCTCGCCCCCGCAGTTGGCAGTGAACACATGATGGGGGGGGGTGTACTGAGAGGCTGTAATCTAGGGGGTGGGGTCAATGGTTGCCTCGTGTGTGTGCAGGAGGCTGTTTGGGAGTGGTTTAAAAATTGATTTTCCAAACCTCGGCGTTGCTTTCTAAACCGTCACTCCTTACATAGACTTTCGATCAACTATCATGACCTTTGGGAATTTACAAACATAAAACCGTAATTTGAAACACAAATATTTTATTTTAGGAAACATAATTTTTTGGGATATTATTATTTTTTTAATGTTAAAAATTCCCCCTCCCACTCCCTGGGGGAAAGAATGTTTCAAATAAAGAATTAATAATGCACGAGTCTACTTGGGGTTTATTGACATTTTTACAGACACACCCTCCTTACCCCGCACCCCACCCTAATCGATAAAATACTGAAAATTTTGTCCAGAAAATCAATAATCAAACGATTGTTTTCGCAGTTTTGCTGAATCCTTGAAGTTATCATAACTTTATTTGGAATTAGGTCAATTTTAGGACAAAGAGAATCAATGGTTAGAATTTTTAAGTTTTGGTAAAAGTTCAGAAAATAAGAATTCGTTTATCATTATTGCAGGGAAAAGTTTTGGGGGATCAATGATAATTTTATAAAAATTATTTATTTTGAAAAAAATGTTAACATGAGAAGTAAAAGAACATTGCTCGGCATGTGTGAGAAAGAGAACAGATACTGCAATTATCGGGCCAATAATAACAGACTAGACTCACGAGGCAAAATAGTTGGTTGGTCTGGGGGGAAACGTCGTTTTTCTTAATCAGAGCATGATGTTTCAATTCTGTAAATGTGTGACTGATGGTTTTTGTCTGAAATCAGGTCTACCTGATTCTTTTTCAAGAGGTCCCGCTATATCCTGGCCTAGAAGTTAATCGTAAACTCAATTCATAGCTTTTGTTGGAATAAAAAAGCATTCATTGATATCTCAGTCTATTTTTGTTGGAATACTTACAATGTCAAAACTGTATTTTTCTAAGTAAACAAAACACATTGTTTACTTGCAAAGAGAGAAAACTCATTAAATCAAACAAAATGTCGATGTAAAGATTGAACAATGTCCTATCTTATATATTTTGTTTGTCTGCCTGGTTTTGTAAAAACGTCGAAACGGTATTTTTTTTGTGGGACCCAGGTCTATGTACAGTAAAATGTGTATTTCTATGTATTCACTGATTTTGTTTTCTAGTTAATGGCAATGAAGTATCAGTATCTTCTACGGGTTCAGTTAATGTCCGCCCAAATGAAGAGGTAAATTTTTATCTAAATATTTTATTCGAAAATAAATGTTCGATAAATTTGTTACTAGGTCTTGATTCATTGATTTTAGTTCAAAGAGAATTCTTGAATTAATTTTTATGATGGATAAATGATTAATTAAAATAATTGACTCAATTAATTTGTGATTATGACAGATTTAATTAACGTAATATTTGATTTATTGATCATTATAATTGATTAATTGATTTTAATGACTGATTTTATTGATGAAAAGGATCATTTATTGATTATAACGATTAAGTCATTGATTATAAAATTTTATGAGTGACTGATTATAGTAATTTATTTATTGAAGATTATCGTTGACAGATTGATTGATTGATTATATTTTAGGTTGATCTTCTCTGTAAAGCAGCTTCCCCAATCAAAATTTGTAATTTTGTCAGTCCCTCTGGAGTAAACTACTTCGTTTCTAAGGTACCGACATTTTTTTATTAATCGCCAGATTTTTTTATTTGCTAGATATTTTTTTACAGCTTTACAGGGAAATTTTCAAGGGTGTATTATTTTTTATTTGTTTTTTTTTCGGGGGGGG